ATTTATTTCTAAAATAAGTATTTTTTGCCAAAATATCCAAACATGTTGGAAACCAGAAGTCGCTTTTAAATAAATTTGTGTTTAAGCTTAACGACAGGCTCCAGGATCCATGCTTCCTCCTTTCCTCCACGGGCTCAGAACTGCAAGGTGCTCGGTGGGTGGGGAGCTGATATACGACTTCCTATATTGAATTCCTGTAATAAAGACAATGGTTTCCCCACCATGTTTTGGTCATTGTCAAATAGGAAGAAAGGATCAGCATGGCGATAATTTTTTTGCTATTTTTTTATTTCTTGTCTCCTGCGTGATGTATTGACCATGCACCTACTTTTATTCTTCTGCAGATAAGCAATTTTGCTACCATGTGGTTCATTCTTCTCTTTGTCTCTATTTTTGCTACTGGAATTCTGGAAATGAGGTGGAGTGGTGTGAGTGTCGAGGACTGGTGGAGAAACGAACAATTTTGGGTCATTGGTGGAACATCGGCTCATCTCTTTGCTGTTTTCCAAGGTCTCCTCAAAGTTCTCGCTGGGATAGATACAAATTTCACGGTCACTTCAAAGGCTTCTGATGAGGATGGAGACTTTGTGGAGCTTTACGTGTTCAGATGGACATCCCTACTCATTCCTCGCACCACCGTCCTTATTGTGAACTTGGTAGGAATTGTTGCTGGTGTTTCATATGCCATCAACAGCGGATATCAGTCATGGGGTCCTCTCTTTGGTAAATTGTTCTTCGCTATTTGGGTTATTGTCCACCTTTACCCCGTTCCTCAAAGGTTTGTTGGGCCGGCAAAACCGCATGCCTACAATTGTCATCGTTTGGTCGATACTCCTCACATCCATTTTCTCCCTGCTTTGGGTTCGGATCGACCCGTTTACATCAGAGGCTACAAAGAGAGCTGCACAAGGTCAATGTGGTGTCAACTGTTAGTTATCTTGAAAATATTCACACTCCGTTCCATGTCTCCTCTTGATGCTTGCTTTAGTGTATATAGACGAAGAACTAATGGCATGTCTGGTAAGATTGATCAAGTGATGATGGACAGTATTAATATAGAAAAGGTTGTTAAAAATCTTGACATTGTACCGTCCAGTTCAGTCCAACCAATTCATTACAGTACTATAAACCAAATATGCCTTCGTGTGATAAGTCAAGTGCTGAGTCCTAAGTTATGTTGTACCATCTACTAGGAGTGATATGAATGAATTCATCACACTTTGGTAATTTTGTCATTTTATTTTAGTCCACACTTTTTGTAAAGGTTGGATCTAGGGGTGGACGCGGATCGGTTCGGTTCTCTTTTCGGGTATCTAGTAAATGGAACCGTCGGGTCCAAATATAATTATGGAACCGTTCGGGTTCGGTTCCGTTAGATTTTGTGCTATAATTAAATTTTTTAACATTTATAACAACATTATATAAATACAACTAATGATACATTTAATGATTTTGGAATGTCAGAGACTAATAGACTACCTGTTCAAATGATCGCTACGGTCAAAGTTTCGGTCGGCGGAGGTCACAATTTCGATCGGAGGTCACAGTGTCGGCCGACGATTGTATATGTTTTGGAATATTAGCAAGGCTGTGAGAGTGAGTGCGAAAGTCAAGACAATGTTATGCATTTTAGTGTAGGTGTTTAGGGTTATTTAGTGGATTTGATCTTGTTGGGTTAAGAAATGAAACAATAAAATGGGTAATTGGAGCAAAAATTAAAAAATTAGAAATGAAACAAATTATTGGGTCAAAAATTTGGATTTAGAAATTGTTAATTTGTTTAAAAAAAATTAAAATTAAAATAACTTGATTTACTTAATATAAAAAAAAAAAATTAGAAAGATTCGGTTCTTATTCGGTTCTTGATCTAGAATCGAGAACTGAACGATACCCGTTGGTTCTCAATTCAGATACCCTTTCGAGTATTTAATTTGACAAGAACCGTCGGGTTCGGTTCAGTTCGATTCGATCGGTTCGGTTCGGGAGATTTATCCAGTCCTAGTTGGATCTCTTTCACTCATGTTCACATGGTATAGTTGTGTCTTAAAACTTCCAATTTGTGAAGAAATGTGATTATTTGTTTTGTTATGTAGTGTGCTTTATGGATAATTTTGTTATGGGTGGAAATGGCTGAATGGGGGTGGAAGAAGTATGCCTATAGATAATTTTCACTAGCCTGTGCTTTAGGGTGAGGTGAATATGAGCTAGTTAGCTTGGAAATCTTTGGGTTCGGTTCGACTTGGCTCATCGGCTTGCCTAAAGATGGGATGAGTCGGCTCGTGAGCCTTTTCATTAAAAAAAAAAGGGAAAATAAAAATAAGGATTTCAAATTTGGGCAACCAAAGAGCCGTTGAAATTGATTTAGCTCCTGTTTGTCATCCTTTATTTTACATTCTTTCTCATTATTTTTTTCTACAATATTCATTTTTAAATACACATTTTCCATTAAAATAATATTACATGCAAATAAAAAACTTTCGTTATTTTTTAACTATACGTTATTTATCAATCATTATTTCATAATACATTTCTTCAAACTAATGAGGCTCAAACATGCCTTAATGGCACATGATACAAAAAACCATTACCTAGAAGGCTGCTTTTGCAATAATAATGGGGAGTCAGTGGGCTTGCCTTGCAACCCGCCTCTTGCATCGGAAAAAATGAGCTTGACAAGTCGTAGAGGTGGGCGCGAGTCGGCTCGATTTGGTTTGGTTCTAAAGAGAGCCGTATCGAACTAAAATTTTCGGATATCTAGTAAATAGAATCGTCGGATCCAAATATAATTATGGAACCGTTCGGATTCGGTTCTGTTCGGTTCCATACTATAATTAATTTTTTTAACATTTATAACAATATTATATAAATACAACTAATAACGCATTCAATAGTTTTGGAATGTCAGAAACTAGTAGACTACTTTATTCAAATGATCGCTATGGTCAAAGTTTCGGTCGGTAGAGGTCACAGCGTCGGCCAGCGATTGTATAGGTTTTGGAATGTCAGCGAGGCTGCGAGAGTGAGTACGATAGTCGAGACAACGTTATGCACTTTAGTATAGGTGTTTAGGGTTATTTACTGGGATGGATCTTGTTGGACTAATAAATGAAACAATAAAATCGGTAATAGGGCAAAAAATTAGAAATGAAACAAATTATTGGACAAAAAATTTGAATTTAGAAATTGTTAATTTGTTTAAAAAAAATTAAAATTAAAATAATTTGATTTATTCAATATAAAAAAAAAGATTCAGTTCTTATTCGGTTATTAGGTTTTTAGTCTAGAATCGAGAATCGAATCGTACTCGTCGGTTCTCAATTCAGATACCCGTTTGGGTATTTAATTTGACAATAACCGTCGAGTTCGATTTGATCGATTTCGGTTCGAGAGATTTGTCCAGTCCTAGCAAGTCGTATTGAGTAAGCGAACAGTTAATTTCATTTAACATCCCTAATAATAAGTGGCAGAGGATCTGGTACGGGTGCAGGGTGAGATGAAGAAGATACTTGTTATTTTTTTGGCATCTATATGGCGGTGGAGGTTCTAGTCTGCTTGGGGTAGTTTGAGGAAGGAGACTAATCAATTTTCAGTTCTTCTTCTTCATTTTTTTATTATTATTATTTTTTAGAATAATTTTACAAAAAGTGATTTTTTAGAAAAATAAATATGTACTAAAAAAGTAAAAATATTATAGATTCAAGTATAAAATCATTTTATTAAAATAAAGTATTGAAAAAATAAATTTATGCAAAAGTAAAATTTTAAAAATGTGTACGGAGCTCAAAGCTCACACATTTTATTAAGCGCTTGTTTGAGCTCCATTTTTGGCGAAGAATGCTTTTTAGAATAGTAGATTGATGTTGAATATGCGGTTAAAAAATAATGAAAATTTTTAAATTTAGGTGTAATATTATTTTATTAAATGATATGTGATTTAAAATAAGAGTACGACTATTTTCATCCACTTTTAAAAATATAATTATATTATATTTTATATCTTATGTAAAATTACCTAAAGAGAAATATATAAAATTAAATAAAAATATATCATTCGATCTTCATTCACTAATATTTACTTTTATAAATTCTTTTAAACATTTTTATATTCTTTTAGAATTTGTGTTTAACTAAAATTCTAATAATAAAAAAAAAACAATCTTTATCTAAGATCATAAAATATCCTCTACGACAGAAATTAAAAAAAATAAATCAGCACATTATTAGAGTTATTATTCTTTCATGATATGAAAAACAGAACATTATTTTTTATTTTTTTTTAAGTATTGGTTTGACAAATAAAAATATATGAAAAATTTCAAAATAAATTTCAATACCTGTCCAAATATTTTTACATTATAAAAAGAAACAAATTTTTATCAATTGAAACACAAACAACCAAAATTATGAACTTATAAGCAAAAAAAATAAAATAAAATATTAATATATGATTTGAGAAGGAATTTGTTTGATTGTTTGAGCAATATACTCTTGTGAGAATCTTATAAATTCAAGAAAAGGGATTTGCTAATATTACTAAATATTAAAGCACCAACATAACAATATAGAAAATAAAAATTAAGAATCATATTAAATGATGATCGTCATTGGATGAATATAGTGATTTTTAAAAATTTTTGAAATTGTATTAGGAATGTATTTATAGTGGGCTGAATATATAAAATTTGTATGAATCTATAATGTTTCAATGAATGAATTTAATAAGAATAATATTGAAATTTGACGTTGATGAAAATAATAATGCTTTAAAATTTTAGCCCCCGTTTGGTTATATTTTTTACCCTGAAAAATCAATTTTTTTTTACCATCACTTAATATAGTCCGCTATTATTTTTTATTTCTTCACTCATATGTAAGATCCACTTTTTCTCAATGATCAAAAAATTGATTTTTATAATCATATAGGCTCTTAATATTTTAATAGGCATATATAAAAACTATAATATAAACACGGCACCCAAAAAGAATTAAGGGGAAAAAAAAAAGTTTTTGAAAATAATGGGATGAAACAGCGGCTAAGCAATGTTGTCAAAATAAACGAGATGCGATTTCCGTTTAAAACCAATAATCACAAAATCCAGGTATATACATCCCTGATAAGAACACCTTTTTCCGACCGAGGCTTGAGATTTTCAGATTTTAGAACTTGAAAGCTGAATCCCAAAAATTCAAGAAGAAAATGGAGAGCTTAACCGAGGGAGTTAACAATATCAATATTTCTTCATCTGAATCGCAAAAGAAGAACAGAATCCAAGTCTCCAACACCAAGAAATCCCTCTTTTTCTATGTCAATCTCTCTAAGGTCTCCTTTCTTTGTGTATAAATTGTAAATGGATTTGCATATTTTTCTTATTGCATTTCTGTATTTTTTCTTTGTTGGGTTTTGCTAAAGACTGAATTTTTATTTACTATTTCTGTTTGTCAAATTGAGTTGCTGAGAAGTATTGATGTGAAAAGTTATGCGTCTGTGATTCAGGAATCTTTTTTCATTTTCTGTTCTTGATTATCTGTACACGCAGACACGGCCACACTGGTTTAGTGGAATATTAAGATTTTATACATTTTTCATATTTTTCAACTAGTTTCTGTAGAAATATATTGGGAACTCAGTAAAAGGTTAAGAAAATTTTAATTTTTGTCTTTTCCTCTTTATTTATCTGCAAGTATATAAGGGCTAGCATTTTAGGGTTTAGCCAAAGACGGAATATCTATATACTCAACTTCCCCCTTTTGAGTCGCATGGGAACAATCCTGTAAATTACAAAAAAATAAAAATAAAAAAAAAAATAAAAAAATGGATCTAGAAAATGTATGATTTTATGATTTCATGTTACTTTTATTTTCCTCTTAACTATTTTCGTTTTGCCTTGTCTACTTGTATTCATATACATGTATTTTGCATTTTGTTCAATTTCATATCATATATTTATTCTTAGAGAGGTTTAGTCTTTGAGGTTTAACTAATAGCTGAATCTTTATGCACTTCTTTTCTCAATAGTGGTTAAGCAAAATGTTGTAATTAACAAGATATTTCGTGGGTCTTATACTTGTTCATTGATTAAGTTCAAGGTATTTGTTTAAATGGAACAGAAGGAAGATCTATAAGTTAAAATGAGATTTGGTTGTACATGCTATTTAGTAACTAATACTTGTAAATTTGAACATGATTGAAAATTTGTTAGTTTGGTATCTCTTGTAATTGTCTTTTCTTTTTCTTTTTTTATTTGTTGATTAAATAATTTTTTTAAGAGAGAAATAGTATTAAAAATTAGCAGCTTATTATATTTTTGTTTCTTGTGATTATTCATCTTTGATGTCGACCATTGGTTCAAGAGTTTGAGCATAATGGATAATTCATAATTGCCTATTTTTTCCCGCTAAGAACCAAATTTAAAGCATTTTCTTAAACCATATATTTTAAGAACTTGTTAAATTTCAAGTTTGCAAAAGCTTTTCAAATTTGAGGTAAGAAAATCATTTTTACCTTCCCTTCCCTATTTATATATTTTCTCTAGTTTTTGTATCTAAAGGTTCACTTTCTTGTGGCCAAAGATCAGCATAAGCTTGTTTAAAGATAGGTTATTCGGTGAATGCGCTTGAACCCATCATAGGAGCTGGAGACTCTTTCAATTATCTGAATGTGCACTTGGCCTTTTCGTGATTCATGTAAATAGTGTTCATTTGAGATTGATTTGAAAGATAAACAAGCTTTGGTTCTTTTAATGCTTAAAAATAAAAATAAACAGCTTGAACAACCTACTTTGTGCTCATCCTTAAATACCGATCTATTGATTCAGGTAGATCCATTTTACACCCCCTAATTGAGTATAAGTTCATAGTTCACGGTTAAATTTGTCAAGCTAAAAATGAGGATAATTTTTTGTAATGCGAAAATTATTGCTAATAAAGTTTTGGATGATCAATATCCGGTACTATATTACTCCCTTTTTAAGGCCATTGCCAGTGAAAGGGATAATATACATTCTACAGTCATATTCATGTGGGATCTGTTTGTACATAAATGAGGTACCTTATAGTCATCTAATGAGTTGATAATCACGTTTGCAGAGGTACATGCAGCAATACAATGAAGTGGAACTCTGTGGCCTTGGCATGGGTATTTCTTTTTATCTGCAACTTTAGAATTTCAGTTGTTCAATGTTAGAGGAATTTTGCTCAGTATGCTTTTTCATGAATGGAACCTAATGTGAATTTATTGTATAACAAATTACATTGTTTTTTGCCTTCAGCTATTTCCACAGTGGTCAGTATTGCTGAAATTTTGAAGAACAATGGATTTGCTGTTGAAAAAAGTAAAACTCAATTTTCCTTTTTTTTTTTTTTTTTTCATTAAGGAGTTTCCTTTGCCTTTTCAGCTTTCCCCTTGTTCCTCCTTATTCCGACCTTTCCTATACTTCGTAGCCTAATATTACCCTTGATTGAATGTTTTTTAAGGTGGATTGAGATAGTAAGGGACAATAATGAAGAAGAAAAAGAAAATAAAATTGTTAATCGAAATGTCTTGTTTGGTCTAATATTGTATACCGAGTATGCACTCATATATTTGTTCTATATGCAGAAATCAGGACATTGACTGTAGACATGAGGGATGAACCTGGGGCACGGCCAATCCCCAAGGCGAAGGTAAGTTCGAAATTCTTCATCTAATAAAATAAATATGAAAGATTGCAAATGGATGCAATTCAGCAACATATGCAATTGGCCCAAGCAAAAGTTCTTGCAAGACTTCTTGGTTTTCGCAAAATTCTAGAGATTCCAGTTGAATGCATTGTCCAATCATGACTTGATATTTTGTCTTTGAATGTGTGCATGACATCTCTTAAAAGTAGACATCAATTGAGTGTTAAAAAACGTTGGTATCACCGAGCTTGGCTGAATACTTCTGAAACACCGGTAAAAGGGTTGACCCTGGATGCAGAAATAACACCATAAATTTGTCATTTCATTGTTTGCTGTGGACCAACGTTGTTAAGACTTCAGAGTTCTCAATTTTTGGATGGATTTTGGTCTCAAAATATTATTTCAGGAAGACACATCATACACGTTCTAATGAAAATTACACTCAATTAGGCATGTCAACGAGTTGAGTCAAGTTGAGTGAAATTAAGTTGGGCTTTTTTTGGCTTGAGCCAAGCCGAGCAGAGCAAAGCAAAAGCTCGGCCAATTGCATTTTTGAGACCGTATATAGTAAGGGATTTTCTTGGTCCATTGCAGACCTGTGGAATTATATTTCATTGTTCCTCCATTCGACTATTATTTACCTTTGGCTTAAGAGCTCGCTTTTCTGTTGTTCGTGGTTTTTGTTTCATGTAGATTGAGATATTACTAGTGAAGACGGAGAACTTTGATGAATTGATGGCCGCTGAAGCAGAGGAAAGAGAATATGGAGTCTACGAACAAAATTGACAAGGATACTTCTGAAGTCTGGTCCAAGGCTCGTCTCCTTTTATCTGTCTGAATTGAGTACTAGTGTCTAGTAGTGAGGCAAATAACTTAACATATCGTTGTACTTTATTTTCACTTTGTGGGTTTGTCAGGTTATTGATTAGTTCTGTAAAGAACAAAAACTTCGACGAAGTTCATATGTTTACAGCGTTTGATATGTTATTTTGGAATTACACCTTAAATTAAAATCAAGATCCAGGGTTCAATTTGGCGTGTAAACTCGAGCATTGGAGTCTTGCAAGGATATTGCAAAAACTTCAGAAAGGCATTTTTGCAGGCTGAAGCATTCTGATATGAATATACGCGGTCAATCTCTCAGGAAAAGGTGAATCATACTCTCCCAAAGATAAGGAAAAAGCAGAAACAAAAAATGAAGGGAAAGAAAAAGGAGGAAAGGAAATAATATGGGGATATGCCCTCCGACCATAAATTTTGTGTCATGTAATAGCACAAGAAGCTAAATTGAATGCATTTGAATCTTAGATGTATGATACCTTTATACTATGTTGGCACTTCAAACGTAAGTCTCGACTGGCATCATTGTCCAATGATCAATTCCTTGTTAAAATATCGATATCAAGGACTCGAACCTCTGATTACCAAAATACATTAAAATTACTAGACATTATTCCTGCGGCCTGAAAGTACACAATACAGACAAGTTCATTCTGACGCTAAATTAGAACCTTCAGCATTTATTTGGTCATTCTTCAACACGTTAAAATATAAACCAAAATCGCTTGGAAAGGTTCTAATACGCACTTTTTCTCACCTCTAAATACAAGTCTCAAATGAAAATTCCAAGCAAAACTTTCGAGTGAGGAAAATGATGAAACATCAGACAACCAGAAGTCAAATGAATCTATATGTTATCCTTAAATCTAAGTTTCGTTTACTCATTTGTAAAACAGCTCTCTTTTGTAAAACAGCTCTCTATGCATTATCTTCGTTCTCAACCAAAATCCTCTTGCATGCCTCGTAACACATGAAAGATATCCCAGCTGCAGGCACCAACTTCATACAGCTCGGGCCGAGCCCTTTATATAAACCCTGAATCCCTTCTTCTTCAAGTATGCAGGCAAGAGCATGAAGCACATTCTTGTACACTTGTCGCCCACTAAGCGCTCCAACCTGCATGTGCTTACGAGCCACCTCAAGAGGGAAGGTAGCGCTACTAGATATAGCACCGGCTGCGGAACCAATCAAAAGTGTTTCGATGTTGCCAATCTTCTCTTGTTTGAAAATCTTCCGGTATGCCTTTCTTAGAGTGTCATATGCACAGTAATTGGTGGCAGCATACGGAATTACTCCAATAAGACTAGGAGTCAGACCTCGATAAAGCTCTTCTGGCCCACCTTCACGTAGTATTTTTATAAACGCATCAAGCAAACCATTGTAAGCTCCTCTCTGCATATTGGAACAAGAACTACCAATAAGGATGAAGTATGGAGATACGAAAAGTTAGAAAAGGGTGTGTTTGGCTGTGCTTAAAAGTAACTTTAATTTTGCACATTCATTTATTAATAATAAAACTTGCTATTCCTGAAAGTTAAGCATTCAGTTACCTGAATGGTCAATCGAGTCTTCAGTAATTCGAGGGGATATGTCACTAAAGTCGAGCTAACTCCAGCACATGCTCCTGCAATCAATGAAGGTGGTATACGCAATTTGGGTTGTTCCCCTAGTTTTGGCGACAAATTTTTGTTGATGGTATCGTAAACAAATAACTGCAAAGTACTTGCAGCTTTCAGGAACAGGTAAAAAGCACAAGGCAATACTAGATAAATAACAAAAAATGCTTAAAGCTTGTGAGCAAAAAATCAATTAGACATCTCACAGGAAAGTAAATCATTAAATGTGCATGAATTTGATCAAACTAAAGACAACTCACAAAGATAAATTATGACATAAGATTACAGATTGAATTATAAATTTTAAAAATTAGATTGCACACAGACAAATGATGCCTTACATGCAAACAAAGAATTTAGAGGACAAGAAAAGGGAGAGGGCTAGAAACTAATTGACTTATTTTGCAACAACGAATAGAATATTCTTGTCAATACACACAGGAGGACCATTCAATCCATAATCCTCAAATCACCCTACTGTCTATCAAGACCAACATTCTGTTATCCTCAAATGCAAAACACGGTTGGAAGACTTGCAGTGAGTTGATCGAGGAGAAGGTTGTTCGAGACTGGAGGAGCTAAGATATTGTAGTTGAAATAACCTTCAAGAGAAGGAATGGCAAATTTACTTTTGATGTGACTTGTTAATTTCTTTCATTTAACCATTAAGACACAAAATAATACACCGGGTTAAAGTCTTATCCTAAACGTAAAGTAGTAAACTCTATTTATTCTACAGCCAAAAGTTCATCAGTAATATTCCTCCCATCAACCTTTAGAAGGGATTTGAAATAGCTAAAGACCGAAAAAACAGATACTGTGCCTCTTAAGGCTTGGTTGGTAAAAGCAACCTCCCGGAAACTGGATAGTATTAAGAAAGAAAAAGTAGCTGAAATAAGCTGAAATTTGTCTCACAGTGTTGTATAGTCGTATGTAACAAACATAACTTTGTGTCTTAACGCTGGATGGACTAGATGATGGTCAAGTTCTTAAGGAAAAAAACTGAAGACAGAACATGCAAATTTGGGACAAAAAGAAATTTGAAAGATCAAGCTCTCATGGTTCCAGGGCAGTAGAATTAGCTGATTTGAAGAATTTACCCATGAAAAAGTCAGACCCAGGGAAGATAACAATCCAACAAATTTAGGTCCGGCCACACGAATTCCCCTTTAGAAGTCATGATATAAGATTAGATAATAAAATGTTATGAAAAAAATACAAGGCTTTCTAACATATTTTCTAAATCGGTGTTCCCTAAAAGCAATGCCACAGATATTGTTGACCTTGGTGCTTATGGACAATCTAATATTCTTGACTGAATAACAGAAAACAATATCTACCATTTCTGAAAGGTGGTTTTAATAAGCAGGCATCACTAGAGACGTTCTCGAGACTACAGATGAGGTGGTGTATTACACGGGATAAAAATAAAACAATGTCATCATGAATGCAAAATGGAATTACAAACAATCAAAAACAACAGAGATGCTAGAAATCATTTATATATGTTTGGTATACAATATAGGACAAGGCTGGGCTGTACAATTGACAAGAGTTAGGTTATTTTCTTCTGTTTAGTAATATTGAGCCCACATTACCAACCTAAACATGCTATTTGAGTCTTCTACATGGAGCAATACATGTCAAGCATATGATAAAATTCACATTAACACAGAAAAAGCAGCAATAGTTAAAGATGTCTTTCAATGGCAGAAACAACCAATATGTGACCCTCAAGTTCATTAAAAAAGTGAAGCACATTTAAGTATTATAGGCAACCATAGACAGCTAATCATAAACCACCAGAATCAACAAAACATAAGCCAATACGACCAACAAGATAGGCTAGCAACTAATAACAAATTAAAGATAAAAAGAGAGTCAACATTAACCAACAAAGAACATCTTATAGGCAAAACCCCAATAACCAAGACAGAAAATAAATGAAAACTCAGACTAAATAACATAATACTGTCAGTTTCATTGTCCCTTTTTCTTTTACTTACCTCTATGGCTTTGCTTGGTGCAACTCGAATCACATTAACAAAATTTCCCCTAAACAATCCTGGCCATCCATCAGTCTTCATAATATTAATTAATACCTCCATAGTCGAATGACCACTACTCCCAACCATCAAATGAGTCCTTATCGTCTCCAATGGAGCTACAGCAGTCCTCGAAACCGCCCCAGCAATTGCACCACTAATCAACCTCCTCAATGAAGGATTTTCAATCTTAACCTTAAGCCTAAGCCCATTTTTCTTCTTCTTAACCACCTTTTTCTCCTCCTCCTGCACACCCACAATATTAAACCTCTCAGGCGATGAAACATACTTCACAAATAAATCGGCATTCAGAAACTTAAAACTGCCATTTTCATTGTTGTCCATTTGACCTACAGACGCGAATAGCCCACCACCTGGATAAAAGTTGCAATCTTGGGGAGTCCATTGGAGTCTCAACTGAGAATTCGACAATAACCCATTGTTTTTATACTCCAAAGCTTGAATTTTTCCTCTCTTATCCATAATTCAAAATTCAAACAGAAAAATTACCTTCCAAAACAATAACCCCCTTTTTATAAAATCTCAGAAAAGATAACCCACCCTACAGATTCATGTTTCCAGGCAATTTGAAAATAGTGAAGGAGCACAAGATTCGATTTTAATCAAACGGGAGTACCAAGTGTCCATTCTTGACAACTGGGTAGGTATTAAAAAAAAAAAAAAAGATTCGAACTTTTTAACTAAGAAAGATAATTAATCCGACGATATATATATGGATGTGTATATGGCTATGCGTGTGTGTGTGTGTGACGAATCAGAGAGGCAGAAGGGAGGCGGCCGCCGCTATGGGTGGTCGGTGGCGGAGGAATCAAGAGAGGTTCTTTCTTAGCTTTAGGGGCAGCGCAAGCGAGTAGAGGATTCCGCCCCTCTCCTCTCCAACCCCAAACACTAATGCTAATATATATGCGTGTGGTCCGTGAAACTGACGGAGATAATACAAGGAAAATTTTTCCCATATTTAATCACAAATAGTCCCTGACTTATGGTCTCCGTGCGAACTGCCGTCTCTTTGGCTCATTTATAAACATTATAGTCCATATATTTCGAGGAATTCAAATATTACTTATTCATTTATTCACTAATCATTTCTATTTATTTATATTTTAAATCGCTTATAAGCCCTTCTCAATAGATGCATCAAATAACAAACAATTACATATATATCACAACTACTAATCTCACGATAAATAGCATTTCTCTCTCAAATATTAGTGTGCAAAACATAGAATAAGAACAGAGGTTGAATAAAGGCTATAGGTTAGAGATTATTTTTGAAAAAATTCCAAATGTTTCAAGGAGTCTTTCCACAACGGACTTGTGATAGAGCCTGTGCCTGGTCAGAAATATAGTGAAATCATCTTTTCATATTCTTTCCCCCGACCCTGCTACTAAGAAAGATGTGCACTTCTTAAAATATCTTATATACATAGGCAGGGTTCTGGAGGTTCCAGCTATAGGAGAACCAGGAACGGAAAGCTTTCCCTCCTTTCTGCCCGACTAGTATTCTTGCTTATTTTGATGATCCTCGATACAGAAGAAAGAGTTCGGGCATTACTAAATATGGGATTCGCACATGAAGAGTGATTTCTTGGTTTCGTCCAATCATGAATAACTTGATTATTTTTAGATAATAGTAAATAGACCAAATTCAAAATACTTATAAAAAAATCGGAAAATAAAGACCTAATAAAAATATTGATACACAAGATAAATAGAAGAAAAGATAAGAAGATATGCATAATTTTATTTGTCTAAGAGATCTTGCAACCATACTTTTAGATGTTGCATAATCCCGAGTGTACTGGGTTAGTTTTGCCAGATATTTTACAGATTCTCACATGTGGGATGCACCTCATTAAAAAATACCCCTAAAAATCCGAACCCCCCGCAATGTTTGTGTGTATTCTGGCAAAACCTTGTAGGAGGTTATTTTGTACATGTGTATTCTAGTAGAACCTTGTAGGAGGTTATTCTGTTCGTGAAGTACGGCTCTTAGGTGTTTTAGCTCTTCTCAAAGAAAGTTGATTGTGGTTCTTGCCACTTCATCTTCAAGGATAGGAATAAGGTTTCCTAGACTAACATCTTTTGTTACCTTTGATGCACTAAAGTTTGATGGACTAAATGTATGCTGATTTTTATTCGCCCTTGTTAGTGGCAATCTTAATTAATGAAATATGCCAGTTTGAATTCAGAAAAGGGAAGATTTTTCAAGTAGTCAATATTTTTTACCAAAATAAAATTTGTCACTCGCAAATTTTTTTTATTAAATATTGTCATTTAGTCATGCAAAATGACCATATAATCCTTTTATTAAAATATTTTCTAGCAACTTTGACGAGAAAGATTGTAATGCTAAATAAATTGAAAACTCTCGTCAATTTTGTTTAATTGGACAAAAATGCATATTTTATTCGAAATATGTGCATAATGAAGAAAGTCCATTTTAAATAGATTATATATTCTCATTAGTTTGACAAGAATGTGAAGTTGTCAACGTACTTTAAAAAAAAAAATTCGTTGCTCTCATTATTAATTAGAACTCTTAAAAGTCTTTTGGAAAGACGCAATAAGTTTACTCGAGAGATATTCAACTCATAACTACTTGAGATTACGAGAACTACTCTTTACCATTGTGATTGTATGCCGTTTCACCTAAAAATGCAAGTGTCGATGAAGATCTAATATATTATACATTTGTGATTGAATAAAACGTTTCACATAAAAATGCAAACCCCAATGAAGATTCATGTGAATTTGCAAATAATCTAAATAAGTGGTGACTTAGAGGATCTCCAATGTCCTGATAGGAACGGATACGATCCAATTTAACATTTAAATAAATATTATCATATAAGTTTAAAAAAAAAAATGGTGTGTAAATTCATCTCTAATGCAATCTGATGAGGATACTGTCGATGTTAAAAAAACCAAAAGACTTTCAAAGTTTGGTTAGACAAAGCGACTCAACATGATTTATATCTTCTATCCATCATTAAATGTGATTTTATTTTTAGAAATTAAAAAAAAAAAAACATTTAGACAATATTGTTGAGTTGTAGTTAGAATCCTTTGGAATTCAATTGAGCTCGGCATCTATTCATTAGACACTAATGGCATGCCACAAAAACAACATGCCTTTTAACTTGTATAGACTGAGATGATAATTCATATAATGTATTAGATATGCTCTAAGAAGAAGAAAAATGGAGAAGAAACAAGAAGGAAAATCGAATATTTGGAATAAAAAGGTCAATTTACATATTCGTGAAAAATATGTCCTATTTCATCCTTTTTTTCATTTACGAGATTCTCTTTACACAAATTTCTCTAGATATCATGGAATATTCTAGTAACATTTTTTTTTATTTGCTCTCATACAAAAGTATAAATGATTTTCTTCCCAATTCAGAATGTTGAAGTCAAGAATTGCTAAGCACGATTTTGGACCAACTTTTTGGAAAAATAGCACTTTTTATTGATAATGAGGGTTTACAAGTATGTTCCTTCGTGGGTGTGAATTGCTTCTTTTTTTTTCTTATGATCCCCCCTTTGAGGGAGGGGGACATCCTTTTCTATTTATAGAGTGAATTAATTCTAATTCTCTTGGAATTTTGTCTTGTCAATCGAATCATTCATAATGCCAAACTTGGTTTGTGTGCCGCCGATCTCTTTGCAATTGGTTAACGAGGCCGGCTCCCATCAAATCATAATCATTCATCATTTTATCAGAAAATCATGACCTACTTCAAGATAAATAGTTTATAGGGGTCAATTGGTGGTTTTTGGTGGTGCTGACGTCACTTTTTTTAAGTGTTTCTGACTGACTGGGTGATTTAACAAGATGGAAGGAATTTGCATTTATTAGATCTGTTGAAATTATGGTAGCCACAAGTCCGAGCTGACTTCATAAACCCGACTTGGTATGTGGACGAGATAGATGCCAAGTATATTTTAATTGAGATCGAAGATCGGTGGTCAACATAGAATATTGATCATTACAATAAAATCCGTATATCGTTACTTTGTATTTTTTATTATTATTATTATTATTATTATTATTATTATTATTATTATTATTATTATTATGTTTCACTTAAAAATGCCAGCCGCAATGAAAATCTTTGAATTATGCATTTGTAATTGGATAACGTTTCCCATAAAAATGCAAACCCCAACGAAGATATAAATCTAAATAAGGAAAAAACGAATATGATGGGAGGGACAAGAAACAAAAAGGGCAATAGTATATTTGAAATGAAAAGATCTATTTACTCTGAAAAATAGGTCCTACTTTACTTTTTCTTTCCAAAAAGATCCTATCTCCATAAATTCTCTACATATTATGGAATATTCAATTATATCTTCAGCTTTTCCTTTTTATTTTTTTGAAAAAAAGCCTTGAGTACATAGAATTTCTTACCGAACTCGTACAGATGCTGATGTGGCGGAATCTGATTCACCTGCATTTTTTCCATTTTTCAATGATTTCACGTCATGTGTTGTCTGTCAAAATTTTCTGTACTTGTAGCATGATTGTTATTTTTTCTCATACAAAAGTATATAATGTTTTTCTTAACAATTTATAATATTTTCAACTTCCAATTTACCATTTAATTGAAGTCCAGACAAATAAATTTAAAAACTTGAAATTTTTTTTTAAAATTTTATTTTTAAACAAGTAGAATTATTCTTATAACAACAAAATATATCGAATTAAAACTTTAACTTGACAAATATGATGCGTTCATTGGATGCTATTAACTTTCTTTTTTAGTGGAATGTTGAAATAATTACACGATTATAAAATTAAAGTATATTTTTTCCAATACCATAGTCCAAGTTTATCTACTTTTGTCAAATATTACATTGATGCTGGTTACATAAAGTAATTAAATTATAATTCACAATAAAATTGAATGAATGGTTTGATTAGAAGTATTGAAGTGTTTGGTTTCGAATGGCACAATATTTGTGGGACAGAAAAAGCATTAATATCACTGGTTTCGGAGTGAGTGCAGATTCAAACTCAAAATCAATTATTGGTGTTAATGCTTGAAACCACAACTTTTAACTTACTCTTTTCCCCAATAATTATAATTTACCTGAATGTAGTCATTTCTTTGTAATTTTAGGTGAATTCCTTAAATGGCGATGTCGAGTGCTTAGGCTGATCAGCTTGTGATAACTCCATTCTTAGGACGCCTTTGACCCCCATCCCGAGACAACTCCAGACTTTTATTTGTACCCAATAAAATTTACAATTATAGAAAGCACGCTCTATATGAATGAGAAAAAGTCTTCAAATCACAAAATTGAATCAAAATCATTGGTTCGTGTCCATGGAACATCGTCACGGTTAAATTTTTTATTTTGAAGCGAACTAAACCTAAAATATGGTTTGGTTTAGATTTATAAAATTAAAATAGATGAAAATTGAGCCAATTAAAAAAAAAAAAAAATGGGACAAAAACATCAAATAAATGAGTTAGGAAACTTATTTGTTATAGATTTTGTATGATTGATGATAGGTTTCATGTCTTTCCAAGTTAAGTGAATAATATGCTCATCATTTACAAGTTTATGCGAGTCTTCTTTGTATTTTTATTTCCTTTGAAGCATGAAGAATGATAAAATATGCATGTATTTGTAATATTTTATTTCTTAAACGCTAATAATGAATGAGTTTTATTCTTGTAATATTTATGTTTTACTGTGTTTAGAAAATATGTTATGTTACTTTCATATTATTACATAAACTACGGTTTGAAACCAAAACGAACGACAGAAAACGGTTTGATTTGGAAAGCGTTGGCAAATATTTTGCCTATATAAGAATAGCCCGAAGAATAACCAACCAATGAAGTTGAGAAGGAGAAAGAATTCCGTTTTTTCCCAACTTCGCCAACAAACATACACACATAAATGTATCTTTCTCAGAGCTCTCTTTCTGAATTTCTGAGACATGGTATCAATCTTTAGCCTTCATATTACATTTCTTTTCAAGATAATGAGAATTTTTCATAATAAAATTATAATTAACCAATGAATTGTTTAATCAAATTTTTTTGTTCATCTGTATCTTTTGTGAACAGGAGGAAAAGGTTGTTATTTCTGCAGCAAATGCATTAGATTACAAAGGATTCCCTGCTGACAAGTCCAAAACTGGTGGATGGATACCTGCTGTTCTCATCTTAGGTTCGGACTCCCCCCAGATTTTTATTTTTTTAAAAATATTTTTTCACTTTTCTGTTTCATATATATTAATTTATTCATAGAATTTCCTAATTGAATCTGAACTTTTTATTCATAATAAATTTTCAAGTTTTCTTTTTCTTTTTCAATAACATTTTTTTTTTAATTTTTCAGGAATAGAATTCTGTGAAAGACTATCAACAATGGGAATAGCAGTAAACCTTGTGACATATTTGACTGGAATAATGCATCTTTCAAGTGCTACTTCTGCTAATATTGTAACAGATTTCATGGGAACCTCTTTTCTTCTGTCATTGCTTGGGGGATTTCTTGCAGACTCTTATTTGGGCAGATACAAAACAATTGCAATCTTTGCACTTGTCCAGACCCTAGTGAGCATTTTCCACTTAGAATTCAGTAATAATTTAAGTTCATTAACGTGAAGTCTTTTTCTTATGTTCGTGACATTGCAGATCATGTTAGTTTACATCTACCCTTTCCTATTCTGTTTTGTTGTACATAGAGTATGCAAAATATGTTTGAACCATCTAAGTCGTTATTTCATAATTTAAATCCTTAGGGGCTGTTTGACAAAGCTTTTGGTAAAAATTTTAGCAGATTTTGATAAAAGTTAATGTAATGTGTTTGAAAATTTGATAAAAGTTCAGTGAAGTTTTATCAACAAACACTTAAACTCCATGTTGTTTCTGCTATATTCCTTTAACAGCCTTACACGGGGTCTAGGATTCCTGTGCAATGAACTCAGTATCAAAACTAATTCATTTTGTGCTTTCTTTGAACCAGGGTACAATCATGTTAGCTATATCAACAAAGCTTCCACAGCTTCGTCCACCTCTTTGCCAAGCAGAATCACCACCCACCCTATGCAAACAAGCAACAGGATATCAAATGTCAATTCTATTTGCATCTCTATATATTATGGCAATAGGAACTGGTGGCCTAAAATCAAGTGTATCAGGTTTTGGAACAGATCAATTTGATGAAAGCGATGAAAAGGAAAAGTCAAAAATGAATCTCTTTTTTGGTAGGTTCTTTTTCTTTGTTAGCCTGGGAACATTGATGGCTGTTACAGTTCTTGTTTACATTCAAGACGAATTGAGCCGGAGTTTGGGTTATGGGATTTGTTCTATGTTCATGTTTACTGCAATTTTGATATTCCTGGCTGGAACAAGAAAATACAGATATAAGAAATGTGCAGGGAGTCCTGTGGTGCATATTTTACAGGTTTTAGTGGCTGCTTTTAGAAAAAGAGGGGCTCAAATCCCTGCAAATGAGAAGTTGTTGTATGAAACGACTCCTGAGGGTTCAAGGATTCGTCATTCGGATCAGTTCAGGTAAGTCTATGTTCCATCAACTTATATATATATGATAAACTAATTAACTATCAGTGATTTTCTAACATAAATATCACATTATGCATTTACAGATGCTTGGACAAGGCTGCAGTTATCATGAAAGAAGACCCAAATACAAACAATATAATATCTCCAAATCCATGGTGTATTTCTTCAGTAACAAAGGTAGAGGAAGTGAAAATGATGATCAGACTTCTTCCAATTTGGGCTACAACAATTATATTTTGGACAACATATGCACAAATGATTACATTCTCAGTAGAACAAGCCTCTACAATGGAAAGAAACGTTGGAAGTTTCAAAATTCCAGCTGGTTCCTTAACTGTCTTCTTTGTATTAGCCATATTAATCAGTTTGGCAGTTTATGACCGTCTGATCATTCCTGTATGGAAAAAATGGAAAGGAAAACCAGGTAACTATAATATTATCCATCGTCATTGAATTTCTCCGCATATTGTTTGCCATAAAACAGATATTGGGTTTTTTTTTTTATTAATCCTTGAGTCCCTAGGTATGGGGTTTGCCGGTTTGCTTTTCATTCTTCTGCAGTACATCGACTCAACATGGTAAGTATTGTTACTCTATGCAGGTTTCACAAGTCTACAAAGAATAGGCATAGGGCTATTCCTATCAGCAGTAGGCATGGCGGTTGCAGTACTTGCAGAGAAGAGGCGCCTCACAATGGTGAAGAAATTCGGTCGGAACACCCAAACTCTACCGTTAAGTGTCTTCTTTTTGATCCCACAGTTCGTCCTTGTGGGCTCTGGAGAAGCATTTATATACACTGGACAGTTAGATTTCTTCATAACTCAATCACCAAAAGGGATGAAAACAATCAGCACTGGCATATTTTTGACAACTCTTGCATTTGGATTCTTTCTCAGTAGCCTTCTGGTAACCATTGTTAAGAAATTGACTACATATGGTGGAAGAAATGGATGGGTTGGAGACAGCATTAATTATGGGAGACTAGATTGTTTTTATGGACTTTTGGCCATATTAAGTTTCATTGATTTTGGGATTTATCTTGTTTGTGCTGCATGGTACAGACCACATACAGCCGCAACGAAATTACAGACCGAAATGGTTTCTAATAAGGGTTCCTCCACTGAGGAGAAGTGCTAGTTGGTAAGGTAGATTGTACAAAAGACATAGCATCAAAAAATCTATAGACCAAATTTGTTGCTAACAAGGGTTCCCCCACTCAGAATTTCTAGTCTAACATCACAACTGCTTTGTTGGGTAAGGTCACATTTACAATATCTGAGGAAGAAAACGAACTCAAAATCCCTTTATTTTTTGGGCATCATTTATTTTTGTGTAGAAGGTACCATGTGTACAGAATCTTTATAAACATTAGGGGTTACATCTCTAATTTGATGTCATTCAAGGAAAATTTAATTACGAGCTTATTGTAAATATCTACTGTAGTAAACAAACGAGCTTCTTTTAAAGAGCTTTTATAGCTTAAACAAACATCCTTTCGAGTAATTAGTTTAATTAGCTTTAGAAGAGTTGTTCATAGCATATGACGCCCAGTAGACGACTTGACAAGTTAACTCTCTACTATGGTACATAAAAGACAAGAAAACTAGCCTCGAACAAATTCGGAGACATTACTGTAGAATCTTTCATAGACAACACAATCAAATCTGAAAATGTCAAATATCTGTCTGCTAAGGTGGCAATACCTAGTGATTCATTAGGTGTACAATAATCTTGGAAGTGTTAAGCATAGAAGAGGAGTCTCAGTTTCTTCCAACGAACTAGTTCATACATGCAACAGATACAAGAGCAGGAGCTTAATAACCAAAACACAAACTGCGTCCGCATCTGCCAGAAAGACCTTGTCATCGGACTAAGCAGGCACTGCATCAGGCCAAAGAATAGTGTAAATGAACATTGTATTATTGATGAACAGTACTGTGTGTCTTAAAGCAATGATATGCCTTATCCATAAATAATCTAGATTGTGGTCAAAGAAATTTAAAGGCCTGGACAAACAAGAATAGGATTAGTCTAACTGGAGCCTATCAGAAACACATTTATACATGCAGAATTTTTCATCTTATTCTGATTTTAAGCTTTCCAAGAAATCTACAAGCCAAAGCCATCTTTAAATTTGCTTCTATCTAAAAATCATTCAAATGTCCTAGGAGTAAATGTAAACCAGCTTCCAACGAAAAAAGAGAAAGAGCCACGTTTCATTAAGAACACCGTCGTACGGTTATGCACCCATGGATAACCTTCTCAAGGTAAAGTTTCTACCAATGTTGCCCAGTATTTCCCGCACACACAGGACAAGAAATTGGATATGTCCAGACACCATTGTGAGGGTAAACATTATAGTAGAATAAACAAACTTACTGTATGTTGATGTATCAATCTGCTCAGGAAGCTCTTTTATATCCACTTCAAACCTCTCCTGGACCTGCAACAAATTACAGAGCCAGGCATCAGGATATGAAAGCAGCTAAAATAAATGCAAAATCTCTCTCTCTCTCTACACACACACACACACACACACACACACACACATATATTTCAATCCCTTGCCTGATTGAGAACATCAGAGTCCGAAGCAGAAGAAACAAATGTGATTGCAAGACCTTTGGTACCAAACCTTCCAGCTCTTCCCACCTATCAAGCAGAATATGAAAACAAAAGAACGTAAGGATTGATTGCTCGCTGATGCTAAACACAGCTGATATTAATGAAATAATTAAAAAAATACCCTGTGCAGATAAGTGTCCGCAGAATCTGGCATGTCATAGTTGATAACAATGTTAACCCTTTCAATATCAATTCCTCTACCAACCAAATCTGTTGCAACAAGGATCCTCTTATGCCCTTCCTTGAAGCCCTTGTAGCGTGTCAATCTGCACAATGCCAAGCCATTGAGAAAAATGAACATTTATGGCATTTAACACAAGTCAGAAAAAGGCCAATCTTTACTTGTCCTTGCATGAAAATAAAGATCACTACTCCGAGATGATGATCATATTTAATATGCAACAATTGAACAAATGTGCAGGGCACACTTCGTGGCTTAAATTGATGCCAAGGAAAATCAAATGCTACTTTATGACGAAGCCCATCCGACTAATGAAGAAACAAACCAGATTCGAGTTAAAAAATCTCTACATGTGCATCTGTTTGAAGGTTTAAAGTACACACACACAAAATAATTTCTAACTGTTTATTACTCCAGCATAATGTTTTAAAACCTTGTTAATGCAATTTGGGCATGATGCAATGTGGCAGGGGGGCCCGGATCAGAGGGTGCAGCGCCCTGACCTAAGGCGCAACCCCATTTGGGGTATCTGTGGGGTGGGTGCAGATTTGGGGGGGCTAGTTGCCATCCCTAAATTCGGGCATGTTTTGATCCATCCCATTTACCATTTTTATATACCACATAAAGGAACCAAAATTTGGTTTAAAAATCTCGTTACATTTTACCAATTTTATATTGATATGATTTAAACTGATCAAACCTTTCTTCCTGAGACATGCCAGAGTGGATGCAAATAGATGGAAAATTACACTCCACAAGCAACTTATTAAGCTCCGCTGCTCTGTTCACACTCTTGACAAAGATGACAACTTGATTAAAGTCCAGCGCATCCAACAAGTCATTCAGCTTCCGGTTCTTCTCCAGCTCGCTCAATTTGATGTAGTGCTGTAGTAGGTGGATGTCAAGTAAAAAAAATAACAGAATTTAGAAGAGCAAATAGGTCATTTCAAATGCTAAGAAACAAACCTGTACAAGACCATGAAGGGTCAACTTGGCTTCGTCATCCACATAAATTTCCATAGGCTGAAAGGAAGAAATGTCACAGTAAAGCATATTAGGTGCCTGACTGAAGCTAATGGTATCCACAACGAAATGAATGATGGATGAACGTCCCCCAAATCGAGGTTCCGGTCCATCTGATTCTCCTTGCAGTTACTTTATTGCTCAGATCATCTAGAATCCACCATCACTCAACAAAAACTAGAAAGAAACTGATTATAAATTCCAGAATGAAACTGCTTTCCTAAACCCACATCCCATAACTTCCCCTCCAAACATACAAAAAATTCAAACACAAAGAAGACTCATGAGATGTGGACTAAAAACACGCTAAGTGGAGAAAATACTGGTCGTACACTGCCTTTACTTCAGGAAGACTCCTATTTCCCTTTCCATCAGAACTTTTCAAATCAAGCATTATGTTGTGTCAGTAGGATACAAAAAACATGAGAAGGGAAGAATCCAGTGCTTGAATCACTGCATTCTTGACTAGATACCGCCTGCAGAAAGCTGGAATAATGGTAAAATTGTAGACTTCTAAAATTCAAGTAGAACTGGCCACAGGACATTACATCTTGCATAAATTTCTTGCAAACTGGTCGGATCTCTTTGCTGAGTGTAGCAGAAAACATCATTACTTGCTTGTCATGAGGGGTCATCTTGAAAATCTCCTGGACATCTCTTCTCATATCTGGGAGGACATACAACCAGATTATTAAAAAACAAAAGAATTTCATACAAATGACTGAAATTAGAGTGGAGTTTGATTGATTGCATGAAGAGGCTGAATGAACATAAATATTATTCAAGACTTCAAGTCACATACCAAGAGATTCAAGCATCTTATCACATTCATCCAGTATAAAATGCCTCACGTTCCTCAAAGAAAGGTCCTTGTCTCTAGCTAGAGCAAGGATTCTCCCAGGTGTTCCAACTACAATGTGAGGGCATTCATTTTTCAGAAGATCTTTGTGGATTTTGATGTTGACACCACCATAAAAAACAGCAACTTTGATGTCTGGCAAGTATGTGCTGAACCGCTCAAATTCATGACATATCTGCAGATGAAACGGCAAAACCCATGAAGCACAAGTATGAACAGATAAAAGAAATAGATAGTTGAGGTCTTGCCCACCTATGTCCATAAAAAGATTATGAATAGATAAAATAGCTGAGGATTTTCTATGTAATTATGCATAGATGGTAGAAATCACTTCCCAAAACACAAGAAATTTTGAAAAAAAGTTCGTAGAAAGAATAAACACCTGGTATGCTAGTTCTCTTGTATGACATAGAACAAGAGCAGCAACTTGACCGGCAACAGGTTCAATCTGCTGCAATGTTGAGAGAACAAAAACAGCAGTCTTCCCCATTCCAGATTTTGCTTGGCAAATAACATCCATTCCCAGAATAGCTTGAGGTATACACTCATGTTGCACTGACGAAGAACCAAAGAAGCCTCATTTCAATTAAAAAAGGTTTACCATTCAACTTCCCAAAAGTGTGAGTGATAATAGTGATTTACCTGAAAATCACAAGTTGCCAAATTAGAAAGATACAACTCTGAAAAGCAAATTTCATACAAGTTATCGGAACGAAAAGAGTAAAGAACGTAAATATTCAGAAACTGAAAACACATGCCATCATGTCTGGAGTAAGTTCAATTAAAAGAGATTCACCAAAACTCCAAAGAAGACACAAGTAAAGAAAAATTAAGAAGACAACTACCCAATGTCTAAACTTAGAAATGAAAAGCTTCTCAAACAATGTTCCATACTTTTACTAAAAACTTCACAATAAAATAAACTCAAACTTTAGGAAATAATATGGATCCAATTGCACTGAGACCAAAGATAACTCCAATGACCTGAGAAAAACTAACACCACATAGAGCACATTATGCGTAGATAACAGATGCTTGAAAAGTACTGTACATCCCCAACAAGAAAGGGAAAATAAGAATTGCACAACAAGTAATACGATTTCTCATGGTTTAAGCTAAGCTTTATGCCCCTAGAATTGGTCATAAATTCTATGTCTATCCTACACTCCCACCTTTCTTACAGCATGACTTAGTTAAAGGATCAGATTTTAAATATAATTTCCATCACGTACACCATATGACAAATTGTTAGGGAATTAACCCAGCTAAATAAACTGAATAACCAGAAGACAAATCTTGCCTTCTGAAGGATGCTCAAATCCAGAATCTACAATAGCCCTTAGAAGCTCTGGTTTCAAAAGGAAGTCTCTGAATCCGGAACTGTGAATTCCCACGTAACCCCTGCAATGGTAAACAGGAATGATATTGTCACATTATCAGCTTTCACGAAAAGAGCAAATGTAATACTGAATGCATATTCAACTGTTAAAAGGTCCAGAGTGTAAAACTAAGTTTAAAATCCAATGGTATGACACCTGATATAACTAGTAACAACAGCTAATGCAACAGAACCAGATGCAGCGCCATAGTAACAAAAACTAAGTTCACCCCCCATTGACTTCACTGTAAAATTATTACCAATCAGCAGCCTAATAAGATATTCATAATCACATCTCTAAAACTACATTTTTTTTTTTTGGAAAATCATTTGTATCCATCCACAGAAATGAATAAAGTTCTGAATAGAAAATCTAGGCTACCAAACAATTAAACAGAACGCCATCCACAATTTTCTACTCTAATCCTTACTTTATACAGCTTTAATTTATAAGCAAAAGCACATGGGAAGCACACGTGAAAAATAAAATATAAGCGGAACCCTAAATCATAAACTGTGCATGATGATTTTTTAACTTAAAAAAACTACCAAAAAAGGAGGGCTAAACAATTAAAAAAAGCTAATATAAAAGTTTAGAACGTCGCAAAAACATAGACTGCGCACAGAAAAAGTGAGCGTTCAAGTATTAGATCAATTCAGGTGTACAAAATAAAACAAGAAAAAATATTCGTATATCACACACGTATAAGCAATGACGTATATTGATAAAGATCATGAGATATCAGAAGCTCACTTCTTGGCTGATTCGCCGTTCACTTTGGTCACAGAGTCGGGAGCTTTTTCATCTTCTTCCTCATAGTCGAGAAGCTCCTCCTCGTATGCGTCGTTCTCCTTCATCTCTCCCATTTTCCCAACTGCTTTCACTACAAAAGCATACAAGCCCAACAGATCAGTACATAAAAAATAAATATTTAGGATGTTAGCTCAGATTAATCAAATAGATAAGCCAATATGTAATAGATATATGTGGGTGCAAAGCTAGGTTTTCTCAGTTTTTGGTGATTTACCTGCTGAATTTATAGAAAGATTAGCGGTTTGTAAGGGTTTTGGGGTTCGAGTAGACTGCAAAGAAAAATGTTAAAAAGGGAAAATTTGGGGGAGAGGCAGAGAAGAATTAGGGTTCTTAAGGTAGGATGGTTAAGTAGTTGCACCTAGGGATTCAGTACAGTATGGGCCGAGTCGAGATGGGCTGCGTGGGAGATCTGAAACCAATCTTTAAGTCGGTCATTACGAAATTTTGATAACTAGCTGAAATTTGATACAGATTAAAATTCAAATTTTAATTTAAATTAAAATCAATAATTAATTTTAACCATATATTTTATATGATTCACAACTTTTCAATCATATATTTCATCAATTTTTTATCAAAATTTATTAAGAATCAAATTTTAATTCCTACAAAATATGGGTTAAATCTTATTTAAGAAAAGTAATATACAATCCTTGTTTGAGCACCCTTATTTCAAGAATTCATTTTTTAAAATATTTATGTTTAATTACGCATTTTTCAATAAAATACTTTTACACATAAATTAAAATTCTTTTCTTATTTTTTAACCATACGTTCTTCAAAAAATCACTATTCAAAAATACATTTTTTTTCCAAAATGGGGCTCAAATGAGGGCATAGTGTCACTTTTCTTTAAAACTCAACATTTTAGTTTTTTTTATTTATTTAAAATCAATATTTCACACTGGTATGTGGTCTTTTACCTTGCTTTCTAGGGTTGGACAAAACTCTCGAATTGAACCGATCGAACCGAACCCGACGGTTCTTCTCAAGTTAAATATCCGAACGAGTATTTGAATAGAGAACCGACGGGTATGGTTCGGTTCTCGATTCTAGGCCAAGACCCGAAAAATCGAATAAGAACCGAATTTCCGTATCTTTTTTAATTAATTTATTTTAAATAAGTAAAATTATTTTATTTTTTCTAAATAAATTTGTTAACTAGTTAATTTAGTTCAAACCACAAAATATGATTTTCCCATTTCTAATTTTCAATTCAAAATTAATTTAATCAAATTGACCTCAATTTTATTCAAATATGTTATTCTATTGTAGTGTCGTTTCTACCGGAGAAAATCGAATTAAAACTCTACAACATCTCTCTTAATTATTTTGAGCTCGCTATCTTACTTTTTCTGTGATTTTAATAATCAAAATTATGAAAAATTCAGCAAAGAGAGACGTGAAACACATAAAATTGAACTACGTTATTTTATAAGAGCTAATATTGAACATATGATTAATTAAATTAACGTAACTTTGTATATATTAAAAAATTTAATTATAATACGGAACTGAACCGAACCAAATAGAACTGAACCCGAACGGTTCCATAATTAAATTTGGACCCGACAGTTCCACTTACTAAATACCCAAAAAATTTGGGTCGGTTCGATTCTAATGAGAACCTGGTTACTTTATTTTCCATTATACTTTGTTATAGTTCATTAATTTGTTATAAAACCAAAAGGGTATCAAAATTTAGAGTTAAATGCACCTACGATCACGATACTTCCCCTATTGTTTCTAAATGATCATTGACCTTTAAAACATTTCTAATTAGACACTAAACTTACTAAATTGCTAAATTATCTTTTACTCCATCATCAACTTTAAAATATTGATGGCATGGATATCAGATATTTAGCCAAGCACCTCTGAACGTTTGTGTTTCACATTGTTTCTCATTGATCATTGAATTTTAAAACATTTTTTACTAGCACTAAACTTACATATCTATTGATGTTGCTCAAGATAATATTTGTTGAAAATGGACAAAAAAGTGTGACATCATATGTCCTTCCATACAAGGCAAGGACATATACACTTTTTTTTTTACAGTGAAGTGATTATTTTTAACGACATTGAACATAATTTCGACAATAGTATCATTTTGACATAAGCTTCCATTACATGCATATTATAGCTTTGCCATCAAGAATTTTTGTTAAACAATTTTCTCTGCAAGCCCATTGTATAGCGAAAACCTAATATGATTCCATTTTTGGTTAATATCCATTGTACATAGGTTTAGAAATAGCAAAATATACAAAAGTGAAAAATATAGTATGCTAGCATAATTTCAAACAATTCGCCGTTAACGTAGAAAACTTACATGTATTCCATGAGCATATAGCTCTAGTAATTTTTTTTTAATTATTATTATTTTTTTTGGGAATATTAGCTCTAGCGATGTTAGTATAATTATAAAATAATATATAAAAATTGCTGATTCAATAAAACCAAAATATTATAGTGTTCTTATCATTGATGTAAGTGGGAGCGTAAATTATAGCAAATACGAGATTACAAATGCATTCGTGCACAAATTACCGAATGAATATATATATATATATATATATATATATATATATATATATATTATTTTTAATCTTATGTAAATATACTTAAATAGACATATATAAAATTAAATAAACATATATCGTTCTAAATTCATCAATTAATATTTATTTTCATAAATTCTTTTGAACATTTTCATATTTTTTAGAGTTCGTGTTTAACTAAAATTCTAATAATCATAAAATATCATTTTCAACTAAAATCATAAAACCCTAATAATTATAATATATCCTCTTCAACTGAAATTTAAAAAAAATAATAAAATAAAAAAATTATCACACTATTTTAGTTATAATTCTTTCATAATATGAAAAATAGAATCTTATCATTTATGCCTTGTTTTAAGTATTGGTTCGATAAATGAAAGTATACGAGAAATTTCAAAATAAATTTTAATACCTGTCCAAATATTCTTATCTTATATTACAAAGGAAACACAAACTTAAAATTATCAATTAAAACACATTCAAAATTATTAGCTTATAAGCAAAAATAAATAAATAAATAAATTAACATATGATTCGAGGAGGGATTTGTTTGGTTGCTTGAGCAATGCACTCTTGAGAAAATTTAATAAATTAAAAAAAAAAGGATTTGTTAACCTTTACAATTAAATATTAAAACACCGACATGGCAATATAGAAAAGGAAAAGTAAGAACCACATTAGATATTGATAATGATTGGATGAATATGGTGGTTTTTAAAATTTTTGAAATTGTATTATAAACGTATTTAGAGTGTGATGAATATATAAAATTTGTGTGGATTTAAAATGTTTAAATAAAAGAACAACACCGAAATTTGACGTGGATGAAAATAAAATTTTTTAAAAATTTTAGTATTTTAACGCGCTCTAGACATAAAATACTTTAAAATGTATAAAAACTAAATAAATAAAATATTAAATTAAACGGCCATCCTTCATCAACAATCATATTTAAACTTTTATTAGATTGTTTCAGAATTTGCCTACATTTGGCCTCTCTTTTTCACTTAATTGAATCCATAATTTCCATCAACTTTTGACGACACGCTTCATTAACTTTTATCAAAAAAATAATAAAAATCCAAACAGGGTTTAAGAAAAAAGAACAGGGGAAATGCGCCACATAGGAGTAGAAGTACGTACATGCTTGTTCCAACAAACAAAGATAGTAATTTGTTATCTTTCTTTCTCGATCTTAAATTTTGTTATGGCATATAATATAGTTAAAGAAAGAAACATAACTATTAAACGAAAAATAGGGATTTAATTATTCAACATTACTAATTAAAAAAGGAAACGGTAAGAGTAATCGGCGACGACTGATTTATAACTGGAATTTATTTGCTTTATTGCATATGCAATAACAACAACAGGAAGAACGAGATATGTATTTAGGATTTATATCTTAAAAATTGACGGTCTTATGCTAACTACTAAGGCCCTATCTAGCAATCATTCTTTCAAAGTAAGAAAAATAAAAAATAGAAAAAATCTCATACACATTTTTTTGTAAGGAAAAATGAATGATTTGTGTGTAAATTAATTTTCAATTAACATTATAAAATAAAAAATATAATTCAACAATAATGTAACATAAGAAGATAAGAGTTAGAAATGCAAGGCTTGGGAGTTACGTTAAAGACGTTGTCCTAAAGTCGTGTTGCCTCCCTGATATTCGAGTACTTTCGGCACTACACAACTCCAAGATAAAACCAAGGTGGCTCACAGCTGGTTCTTCTTCTAACCTTATCGAATTATCAAAACTACATAAAATAATATAGAAGTATAGAGAGTATTCTATCAAGTTATCTTTTTCATGTTGTACTTAACCTCATAAAATCACTCTCTATTATAGGGATAAATTTAACCCTCACAATTATATCATTAAAATACAAGTTAAAATATGTATTATGGTATTTTAATTTTATCTTAGAATTGAAAAGTAAAAGGTTTTAATTTGAAAGGTTAAAATTTTAACTCTTAAGTTACAAATAATTTTAAATTTGAAAGGTTAAAAATTCAATATTTGCGGTGAACCAAAAATTCATTTTTTTTATAACTAAATATCCCTACTATATAAAAAGGGAAATGTGGAGACATTGTTGATGGGAACATTATTTTAATCCATTTTATCTCACTGTAGCATTTTTATTTTTTTTTCAAGTGAGGGAGCAAAAACGACGTTGTTTACCTTACTTGATATATATTTTATTATACAGTAAAAAAAGACAAGCAATCTAAATTTACTGCAACACGCAACATTCCATATCTACCACCAAAAATTTAAAGTAATATTTAGATATATTTAATTTTAAAAAATAAATATTAATAAAAAGATCACTATAAAATTAAATATCGTGTGGAATTATTAAAAAATAAAAATACTAATAATATAAGACAGAAAATATTTCTAAAAAGTAAAAAGTTATTTGTGAGTAAAAAAATTGAAGAGAAAGAAATTAAAAAGAATTTTAAGTTGAAAAAAATTATTTATAATGTAAAAAAAAAAAAAAATAAAAAAAATTTTAAGTTGAAAAAAATTATTTATAATGTAAAAAAAAAAAAAAAATCTCCGTGCACGAAGACTCACACGGCTCTTCTCCGTGTGCATGGTCTCCATGCATGAAGACATATTTATTTTTTTTACATTATAAAATAATTTTTTTCAATTTAAAATTCTTTTTAATTTTTTTCTCTTCGTAATATCTTATTATATATTTTTCCCTTAATTTACTGTAATACGCAACTTTTCATTCCCACTAACTTAAAATTTAAAGTAATATTTAGATATATTTAATTT